CTTGACACAGCACCAGCTGACAGATGCAGGATGGAAAACGGAAACCTACTTCCCCCACCCTGCCACCAACATCTGTAAATAAGTGGTTTTTCTGTCTTTGTCATAGTGTTAAAGTGTCACATGGGGTGGAAATGTTCCAGTCTGGAGCAGCTATGAAAGTTAGGAATTGGCTCACACAGATGCATGCATGTGCGCACACACACACACACACACACACGAGCGCACGTGCCCGCCCGTCCGCCACATCCACTAATAAAATGCTTTTTTCCAGTTGCTCTCAGGAGATAATTTCCGAGTAAAATTTCCTTGGTCCAGGCAGCGTGTGTGCTATCTTAATGCCCGCGCACAGCGCCAGCAGCGAGCCCATGCCAGCTCCTGAGAAGGCATTTGAACTTCTGGCAGTGTTGCTTATCCAAGGCCCCATCCGCCGTGTTTGTGATTACAGGGGAAGGGTGCTCGCTTTTGGCAAAACAAAGCATCTGACAGGCGCGGGGTATTGGCTCAACACGCAACGGGCCCCATTTGGGATTCATTCTTTGACAATTACCCAGAATGAATCACCAGCTTCCTTTTGTAAAAAGATATTTATTGGCGTAGAAACAGAGCATACCCAGCTCCTTGGGGGGAGGAATTTTGTAACTGTGCTCAAATATCCTCATAAAACTTGGGGTCTGAGTGTTGCTAAGGGGCTACTGCACAGAGCGCTTCCTTTAATTGTATCAGATTATGGAGGCGAATTGAAAAATCTGCTGGAAAGCCATGAATGGCTCAAGGGGGAAAGGAGAGGACATTTGGTAATGGGAGCAGAGTCAGAAGGCACCGTGGGAGGGGCGAATCCTTGCTGGAGACTCCCTGCAGAGGCCTGATGGTCCCAGGCCCCCTCCCCACCCTCAAGATGTGGTGGGCACCCACGGTTGGAGGCTGCTGGCCTGGAGAGCTGGTTCTTGCTGGCCCCCCACCTCCCCGGATGTAACCTGAAGGAGATTAGGTTTTAATCCTTTGGTGCTTGCTAGGCAGGCTCCCATATTCTGTTAACCAACATGCAGCCAGCCAGAAGAGAAATTCTAGGTCTCCACTTTTTTCCAAACTGGAGAAGGCCACAGTCCACATTAGTATTAGAATTGAGAACAGCCTTGGTTCATTAACATGGAGGGAAGAGGGCTGGCATTGCAGTGCAGCAGGTTAAGTCATGGCTGGTGCACCAGCGTCCCATATCCGAGCACCGGTTCTAATCCCAGCTGTTCCACTCTGATCTAGCTCTCAGCTGCTGCACCTGGGAAGGCAGCAGAAGATGGCCCAAGTGCTCGGGCCCCTGCACGCACTGGGAGACCCGGATAGTTTCTGGCTCTTGGCTTTGGCCTGGCCCAGCCCTGAATGTAGCATGCATTTGGGGAGTGAACCAGCTGATAGATGATCTATCTCTCTGTCTCTCTCTCTCTACCTTTAAAATAATTTTTAAAAAATTATTAAAGAGTGAGAATTACTTAGCTGAAAATGTTCAGAAATAATGGGGTTAATCATTCAGCTACAGTCCTAGATTTGAGGTGGTGACTTGCATATCCTGCATGTTCCTAAAAAAAAAAATTGAAAGCATTAGAGAGGTGCATACATTTTCTTCTGCTGGTTCATTCCCTAAATGGCCACCATGGCTGGGCCAGGCTGAAGCCAGGAGCCTGGAACTCAGTCCAGATCTCCCATGTGAGCAGCAGGGACCCATGCCCTTGAGCCATCTTCTCCTGCCTGCCCTGGAGTGTTAGCAGGGATCTGCATCCGAAGCAGAGCAGCCAGGACTTGAACTGGCACTCCTGTGGGATGGCAGTGTCACAGGCAGCCACTTAGCCTGTCGCAGCACAGTGCCTGCCCCACCACCTGCCCCTCTGTCCCATAATTCTGTGAACCAGTCCCTCTTTCAGAACAATTTACTCCTCCCACGAGCTCAGGCGTGCCTCTGCCAGAAGGGTCCTTCTGCATCAGGCTACTCCTAGGGCCCACTGTGCTGCGGGAGAGGGGCACAGGACGGCCACTTGATCCTGGCTCCGGTCTAAAAACCCTCAGGTGAGAACTCTTGAGTGCAACTGAAGTGAGGCATGGCCCCGGCGCGTGGGTGGGGTCACAGCCTTTGTCAGCGTGTATGTGGAAAATCTATGCCGCTGCTTCACTGCTCTTCCAGGATGTAATTGTATCGACTTTCAAGCTCGCGTGTTTGAAGTGTACAGTTTAGGTGTCTTTACAGAGTTGGCTGATCACCACCACAACCGCGTCTAAGAACATTTTCATGCACACCTCTAGAAGACACGCTGTAGTCATGCGCAGTCACTCCCCGTGCCCCCAACCTGTGCTGTAGGCAGTGAGTCATCTATGTCATGTCTGTATACATCTCCCCGTGCTGGGCGTCTCCTATAAACGGGATCACATGCTGTGTGATCTTCCGCGACCTCTTTCCTGTAGCACGATGTTGAGGTGCGTCCATGCTGTAGCGTGGGTATCAGTACTTGTATTAAATGGCACTTTCTTGTAGTATATTCATCCAGTGGGGCAGTATACAGTAATATGCAGTAGTAAGAGAGGACAGACTCCCCGTGGCCTCGAGGAGGAGAAATATTATAGACCTTGTATTGACTCATGCTGGGGGCCGGTGCTGTGGCGCAGTGGGTAAAGCCTCCGCCTGCAGTCCTGGCTGCTGCTCCTCCATTCCAGCTCTCTGCTGTGGCCTGGCAAAGCAGTGGAAGATGGCCCAAGCGCTTGGGCCCCTGCACCCAGGTGGGAGACCCGGAAGTGCCTGGCTTCAGATCCGCCCAGCTCTGGCTGTTGTGGCCATTTGGGGAGTAAACCAGTGGATAGAAGACCTTTCTGTTTCTCCCTCTCACTGTCTGTAACTCTACTCATCAAATATAATCTTTAAAAAAAAAAGTCCATATGGAATGATTTCATTGATAGGAAGTTCAAGAACAGGCAAAACTGGTGGTGATGGAGGGCAGAAAAGTGATTAGCTCTGGGTGAGGCAGTGTGGCTGGCTGGAAGAGGGCGCTCTTCTCGGGGCCTGGAAACCTTCTATCTTGAGGTCAGGTGGTCACACAAGAAGCTACAATACTGAGGTGAGCATTCCTTAAGCTATACACTGAATATTCATCACTCTCCTGTATGCGTTACATTTCCTTTTAAAGTTAGCAGGGCATCAGAGGGAGAAGGGAGTTAAACATCAGCCTACCATTGCGGGTTCACTCCCTAAATGGCCACAACAGCCAGGACTGGGCCAGACCAAAGGCAGGAGCCAGGAGCTCCATCCGTGTCTCCCTACGTGGATGGCACAGGCCCCCAAAATTGGGCCATCTTTCTGCTGCTTTTCCAGGAGCAGCAGCATGGAGCTGGACTGGGCAGTCTGAGAGGGAATGCTCACGTCACAAGTGGTGACTTAACCAGCTAGGCCACAAGCCCAGCCCCTAAAAGCTTTTTGACGGGAAATTACACTTGATTTTTATAATTTTAAATGCTTTTTAAAAAAATTACCTACAGAGGAAAACTGGATGAATCATTACAAGTTAGTATGCTGTGTATCTGGCACACAGGTTAAGAAATATAAAAGTATCAGGGCAGGTACTGCAGTGGAGTGAGCTAAGCCTTTGCCTGTGGTGCCAGCATCCCATATGGGCGCCGGTTCGTGTCCTGGCTGCTCCTCTTCCAATCCAGCTCTCTGCTATGGCCTGGGAAAGCAGTAGAAGATGGCCCAAGATGGCCCTGCACCCACTTGTGAGACCCAGAGGAAGCTCCTGGCTTCAAATCAGGCCAGTTCTGGCTGCTGGAGCCACTTGGGACATGAACCAGCAGATAGAAGACCTTCTTGTCTCTCCCCCTCTCTGTAACTCTACCTCTCAAAAAAAAAAAAAATTAAAAGTATCTTCCATTCCCTCTTGGTGTTTTCTTGATGTCTAATATCATTACTTTGAATGTGTGGGTATGTTTTTAAGCTGTAGGTTGATGGGATCATACAGTGTGTTTTGTTTTGTGTCAGGCTTCTTTGATTCAACTTTATGATTATGCAGGTCACCCATGTGGCATGTAGCAATGGTTTGTTCATTTTCATTATTTCACAATATTGTTGTGTGAATACACCCCACATTGTTCACTCTCATATAGATGAATACTTAGTCTGTTTCTGGTACGAAAAAATTAGATAGTTCACGGTCACATTCGTATTTACTTCACCTGGGTATAGAACGAGATGTGAAGTCACCTTAGGGTAAACCGCAGCTTTATGGATGTTTCTGAAAACCTGTTTCAGTATTTCTTCATTTCTTAATAACTAGCATCTTAGAAGAAAGCTTAGAAGAAAGCTCATGGCCTGGGAGGATTAAGCAATACTCTGGTGCCTGGAAGTTCAAGGTCAGGGCAAAGTACTGGTAAATCTGGTGGCTGGTGAGGGCCATCTTCCTGCTGTGTCCTCACGTGGTGGCCAGCAGAGAAAGCGGGCGAGCTCTGGTGCCTTGTCTCACAGAGGCACAAAGCCCGTTCACAAGGCCTCCACCCCTGAGGCTCCACTGTCCAGCAGCACCACGTTGGGATTAGGATTCCTGCAGCTGGGTTTGGAGGGGACCGCGACATTCAGTCTGTAACTAGCAGGAAGCTCCAGAAGTGAAAGTGGTCCAGCCGGCTGTCCCTCAGAGACTAGGGAATGTCCTCACACAGCCGAGTCCTCCAGGGTTACCCACACCCCCAACATACCCACAGGATCCCAGCCCCCGGCCCCCGTCTCCTGACCACCTACTTGCTGGCTGTCTGCCTCCTGCACGGGACTGGGAGCCCACTGAAGGCAGAGACAGAGTCTTGCTTGTCACCACACACAGCCCGAGCCTCTAGCACAACGCCCAGAACATCGGAAGACTTGCTAGGTAGTGATTTAATGAGTGAGGGAACCCAAAATCCATCTAGCCTCTAATACCTGGGTGAGGTTGAGGAACATGTTACATTTTGAAAACTCATCCACTTTTTGTCTTTGCTTTCAGATATCGAATGGATCCACTATAAAAGTCTTTAAGAAGATAGCGAATTTTACTTCAGGTAACCAATATGATATTGTTAACCTTTTGTTCTCACCCAGCTTTATAAAGGATTGCTTTTTGCCTCAGCTGTATTGTCACAAAAAGGTGAGATTGAATTGTTGCTATCTCATTCACTGAAAGCTGAGAAGAGCCATTTCGATCTGTTTCTAGTGCTAAGAATGTGCAAGGAAGAGAAAAGGAGACAAAGTGTAGAAGGTGGGTGGCCCGGACTGCCCCGCTCCAGGGAGCACGCTGCCTCTTAAGGGCTCTGAACTCAGGAAGGGTCTCGGCCCCCACCCTGCTTTTCTCCAGCCAGGCAGTAGGAGTGGAGATGGCTAATGGAGATGTCCCTGGCAAACAGGGAAGTGTGCAGATAATCACAGCTGACCAAACAAGATGATCCACTTACAGTGTCCAAGTCTCCTTGGGATAGCATTCACAAACTTCCCAGAAAGTGGAAAGGGAGGGAAGGAGGGAGAGAACAAGCAAGTGAGCCATCTTCCATCTGCTGGTTTACTTCCCAAAAGGCTGCAACAGCTGGGACCGTGCCATGCCTAAGCCAGGAGCCCAGAGCTTCTTCCAGATCTCCGATGTAGGTGCAGGGACCCAAGGACTTAGGCCATCTTCCACTGCCCTCCCAGGCACATGAGCAGTGAGCTGGATTGGGTATGGAGCAGCTGGGTCTTGGAACCCCGCCCACGTTGGGTGCTGTAGTTACGGGCTGTGGCTTCACCTACCACACCACAGCGCCAACCAGAGAGGGAGCTTTGATGGGAGTTTGTAGGCTAGCCTCTCAAGTCGTCTTCTACTTCCCTGACAGTGGTCAGGAAACCACTGACACTGGCTAGAGAGAAGCGTTGGGTCCTATTCCGGTTTGTCACCAGAGAGAATAGATCCCTGCCAAGATCATCAGCCCTTTGCCCTCAGAAAGGTTAGGGTTTCTAACCCCCAGGCCCCTTCTCACACACAGCCAGGGGTAGGCTTTCCTGATTCCAGGGCATAGCACTAGCAGCCGGGGAGGCCCCAGTGCCGAGAAGGCAGGGCTGCTGATCATAGACAGGAGAATGTGGAAGGATCTGCTCCACCTTCCGTCACTGCATCTGGCTACAGAAGTCCTCACGCAGAGGATGGCTGTCACAGTGGCATGGGGGTAGTATCCTTGTGTTGTAAAAAGTAAAACAGCATGTGCTTTCTCAGCTTCACAATATGGGCTTCTTGTCGAGCCTGTTCCTCAGGGATTGAAATTAGAGGAGCCTTAGGTTTGGATCCCTTCATGGGAATTCCAATGAACCCATGCCTCCGCTTCCTCCTTGTCTAATCCAAATGAAAGCCATCATTCTGACTGCCATCCTGCTAATTCTGCAACCCCCTGCCCTGTCATCAGCTCCTCTGTTAGCCTCGTCTGAAGCTAAGGTCGCAGGAGAAAGGTGCACAACAGTAAAGTTGGGGTCACTGTACTCATTCCCGCTGGGTTTCCCTAGGCTGTTCAGTTCTGTGTTCTGCACAGTGTCTGCCTCCTGTCCTCAATGCTCCAACCCAAGGAGCTCTCCTGACTACAGAGATGACTTCACCCAAAAACACCAACCAACAACCAAAACCCCAAAACAACCAACCAACCAACCAAGATTCAGGACTGCCTCAACATCGAGCAGCAAACCTCCCGAGCTATTCCCATCTGCCTGACGTCCTCCTGCAGGGCCCATGTCTCACCTGTGCTCTGGGTCTCACCAGCCTTCCCAACTTTCTGAACACACTTCCCTCGCCAGTACTTTCTTGCCATCCCTATCTGCTGCATTCGTTAGCATTTCAAGATACCCTAGTCTCTCGTCTTCTAAAACAAAATGCCCAAGTGCCTTAATATCCCTTTTTTTCCCCATTCCCTTTACAGCCACATTTCTTGCAAGCATTTCCATACCCTGTGCCATTCTGGGCTCGCTGTGAGCTCCAGCTCATCGGTCAGGTTCCTTCCCACCTGGGGGTGTTCCTCCATTTGCCTGGCTAACTCTGCCTCTTCAAATCCAACATTCTTCTCTGAAACAAACTTACAGAGGAGATCAGGTGTACCATGGGAATTTCAAAAACATCATGGGAAACGGAATTATACGACTTGGGGGCGGGAAAATTTGAAATCCACACATCGCAGTTTGTTCATGCATTTTTTGTGCACTTTCGGGAGGTCCCTGGTATTCGTCGAGTAACGCCTGAGTCTCTCCTGTGCCGTCGCCTTGCTACTTTAACACTTCTAGGAACAGGGACGCTGCTCTAGCCCACCCCATCTTCATCCTAGAGTAAACCTCTTGGGTTTTGGAGCACAAATGGGGCTTTTTACAAAAAGGCCAGTTAGCCCGTGGCTATTTTTTTAATGGACTGTTTTCTGTCCCTTTTTCTCCTGTGTTCAGATGTGGAATATTCAGATGACCACTGCCATTTGGTGAGTTCAGGCTTTCTTGTGCTCACTCTGAATTGCATGCCTTCCCGAGCTTGAATGGTCTCCATGGGTAACGCTTCTGCTTTGGCTTCTCTTTAGATTTTACCAGATTCGGAAGCCTTCCAAGATGTTCAAGGAAAGAGACATAGAGGGAAACACAAGTTCAAAGTAAAAGAAATGTATCTGACAAAGCTGCTGTCGACCAAGGTACACTTACTGTTCTGGGAGCGCTTTTATGGCCACCTTGGGGGTGTATGATGTGTTTGACTTAATTTCCACTGAAGTGTGAAAATGTTACAAATCCCTCGTGCCTTCTAGCAAAGCAAAATGAAAGTTTAAGTTGTAAACACCTCCTACCACCCCCCCCTTTTTTTCTTATAAGCTGCAAGATAAAGTTATGTTGCACATTTCCAGTTTATAGCATCTTCAGCCAGGGATTTTAATATTATTCCCAGTTTCTTTACCCACCCCCCCATTTCCCTATTGTTATTTTTTAGGTTGACAACATAATTAGACCTTTTTGTTGACTTGTTATTATATAGATAAACACTAAGACTCCCTCCCAACTGGATTAAGGGAGGAGGTGTCAGTGTCTGTAAACCTAGGAAATATCATTTTTTCCTTCCCATTTTGAAATTACGAATTCTTTTCACATCCAAAAGTGTCAGATGCGAAAGCCGCTGGAACACAAACCAGAAGCAAACTGTACTTCATCTGGCTTTCAGTGGGATTAACAGAGAAGTCCCCGGAGACCTGATTTCACTGTTCTGAAATGACCAGTCCTACAAGTGTAGCCACCTGCCCTGGCCCTCACCACCTGATGGGATGCTTCAGATTGTGGCAGGGAATCTGTTTTTTTCAGTGGAGTGAGGACAGCCCTGGTCTCTTTGTTTTCTCGGCTACCCCACAAGAGTCCAGCCGGTTTGGTTTTTGTAAAATACTCAAGTGCTTTGGAAAGTACACAATAAAACCTTAAGATGGAAAATAGGCAAAAGGAAAAATTCTGGGAACAGCGAGGTATCACTTGAGTGTTTCCTGGCTAACCATAATTAACAAAGCCAGATATCCATGGCTTTTTGACTTATGTATATAGACCTACAACTGACATTGCTTTCATTTTTTTTTTCAGATTTATTTGAAAGGCAGAGTTGAGATGTGTTGGGGGAGGCAGGGAGGGAGGGAGATAAATCGATCTTACTTACATCCACTTCCCAAATGACCGTGAGAGTCAGGACTGGGCCAGGAACTCCATCTAGGTCTCCCAGACGGGTGCAGGGGTCCAAGGACTTGGGCCATCTTCCACTGCTTTCCCAGGCACATCAACAGGGAGCTGGATTAGAACTAGAGCATCTGGGATTCGAACCAGCACCCATATGGATTGCTCACGTCATAGGTGGCAACCTAACTGCTACCACCACAAAACCAGACTCTACAACAGACATTTCAACTGCTAGAAATTGCTAGCAGCCACCCCATTTGACTATATTTTATCAGCAAAATCTTAGGAACCAAATTTAAACTTGGGCATCGATTTTCATTTGCCCCTTATGTGAAGTTTGACCTCATTTCACGGTTCTAGATTTTTCTATTCTGCTGTTTCTTAAAAGGTTTTCTTTACTTTTAATAGATATCAAATATGCAACATAGATTTGCTTTCATAATTCAATACTCCTCCAATCCTGTGATTGTCCTTGTGGAGAACAACTTAACAGACTGAAGACTTCCCTTACATTCGCAATAAGATGGCAGGCCGTTTAGTGGATAGTACGTCTTCACACTGTTTTCTCTATTTTGTGCTTGGATTGGTTTTCTATTATGCTTTCAAAACCACTGCCATCTATTTTTAATCTACCAAATCTGATGTTCTCTTTCAGGTGGCAATTCACTCTGTGCTTGAAAAACTATTCCGAAGCATTTGGAGTTTACCTAACAGCAGAGCCCCATTTGCTATAAAATACTTCTTTGACTTTTTGGATGCCCAGGCTGAAAACAAAAAAATCACAGATCCTGATGTTGTACATATTTGGAAAACAAACAGGTGGGAATGTAGGTGATTAGTCACTGTTCTCAAGAATCTGGGACAGACTTTGAACAAGAAGGAGGGCATAGTCATGGGAGGACTCACTCATCCCTGGGTCATACTCTCTGGACGTGGTGAGCTATCATGCCCAAGTAGTTTCTGGCTCTGCCACTATTAGTGAAAGCATTCCCGTGCCAAGAATTCTATTCTTTGGGATAAAATTAACTATACTCCTTTGCATGCATGAAAGAAGACCATGTTTAGAAGGTTGGATCAAGCGGACCAGCAAAGGATGAGAAGTTACTATTTTGTGGTTTTATTATGCCATATTTCCATTAGAGGAGACTTTGATTTGTCCCTAAATAATCAATCACTTAGCAGTTGCAAACTGTGTATAGTAAGATAGGCTGCTTTCATTTTTACCAAGGAAGTACAGAGATACCTCTAGAGTTTGTGGTTGGTTTTGCTTCAGTAGATTTTTATTTATTTATTTGAGAGGTAAAGTTACAGACAGAAAGGTTTTCCATCTGGTTCACTTCCCAAATGGCCAATCCGAAGCCAGGAGCGTCCTCCAGGTCTCCCATGTGGGTACTGGGGCCCAAGAACATGGGCCGCCTTCTACTGCTTTCTCAGGCCACAGGCAGACAGCTGAATCAGAAGAGGAGCAGCCAAAGACACAAACTGGCACCATATGGGATGGCAGCGCTGCAGGCAGAGGCTTAGCCTACTATGCCACATACTTGAACATTTAACCTTATGCAGTGGCAACACATCATAGGTGAGTGTAGAAGTCTCCTCAGTAAAGCAGCATAGCTCACTGCCCACAGCTGAGTAACACTCAGGGTTATGATATAGCACTTCTCCCTTCCCAGCAGTGGTGTCTGCCACCCAGCTTAATGGAGTATGAAAAGCTGAAATTCTAGAGCTCTAGGTCTGATCTCTCCCATTTACTCCAGGTCTATCTCCACTCTCCACTGTGGCTTGCTGCCTTCCTGAGTTCCAGCCTCTTCTCTCCAGACCCTGCTACCATAGGTCAGCTTTTGCTGACTCCACTGTCCCTGTGAAGTATGGCAGCTGACGGTGGAGTCAGCAAAAGCTTAAAGGGAATCACGGAAGGACTTGGAAGAATTCCTAAATTCATACTCAAATATCTAAGTACCTACTATGTGCCAGTCCCTGTTAGGTGCTGGAGATAAAGATCCCAACACACAAATCCATGTCTTCACAGACGGCATTCCAATAGGCTGAATGTATCAGTTGTAGTATATCCGAAGGTGGTGATAATATAGTTGAGATAGTGGGAAAGGAAGATAGCAGTGTCCAAACGGGGCAGTTGGAGACAGCCTCACAGAGCAAAGATTGTATCTGAGCCAGTCTCAAGAGAGGGAATCAACCACAAGACTGCCTGGGCAGGTGAGTGTCAGGGAGATGGACAATAAGAGGCAGAAATCCTGGGGCCAGTGTTGCGGCATTAACAGATTAAACCACCACATGTGCCGCCAACATCCCATGTAGGCACTAGTTCGAGTCTCATCGGTTCCACTTCCCATCCAGCTCCCTGCTAATGTGCCTGGGAAAGCAGCAGAGGATGGCCCCTGCACCCAGGCAGGAAACCCAGATGAAGCTCCGAGCTTTGGCCTGGTGCAGCCCTGGCTGTTCCATCCACTGGTTCACTCCCCACATGGCTGCAAGATCCAACTCTGACTTCCAAATAAATAAACCTTAAGAAGAGAGTCCTGAGGCACAACCTTGCTTTACATTCATGAAGAACCACAGTGGAAAGTCCAGGGGAGCTGGGATGAGCACAGGGGGGAAGCTCAGGGCTAGGCGTGTAAAGTGTTAATCTGGAGGGAGAACGAGAGCCACAGAAGGTTTGAGCGAGGAAGGGAAGGGACCTGAGTCTGAGAAGCCGAGGATGGATGACCCAGGTGAGACACGGTGGTGGTTTAGGCCAGGGTGGCACAGGTTTGCGAAGATCCTGGAGATCTGGATGCCCTCCTTGGTAACCATCATCTCGCCCAGTCGAGAAAATGCTCCTCTTGTCCACGGCCACTTTCAAACTTGTCTGGCCGGCCTTTCGGCAGCTCTGTCAGTGTCAACCCTTCCCTGTTCTGAGTAGCGTCACCATCTGTTGCGTGGTTCTGTTTGGCTAAGCAGACTTGTGTACTTCAATCCCAAGGACAAAAACACCCCTTTCCACACTGTGACAAACAGACCGTTGGCTTCACGTGAAAAGAGATTGTTCTGTCTTTGAACAGCCTTCCTCTGCGCTTCTGGGTAAACATCCTGAAGAACCCTCAGTTTGTCTTTGACATTAAGAAGACGCCACACATAGACGGCTGCTTGTCAGTGATTGCCCAGGCATTCATGGACGCGTTTTCTCTCACGGAGCAGCAGCTGGGGAAGGTAAGGGCCAGCTTTACTGTTTCTTGTGAATGGGAAGCCCTGTGTCATTCAAATAAGAAACCGCTGCGCTAGCCCCAAGGAAACAGGCAAGGGTGGTCACTGTAGAACTGCTTTCCTGTAGAATCTCATTTATTTCTGAATCTCCAATTTAAAAAATAATAACAGCCCCATCCAGTTGCATAACTCTGTCTGTGAGTGACTGTAGCACAAAGCATACAGTTTGCTTCCTAGAAAAAATATCCTGGCTGGCACCGCGGCTCACTAGGCTAATCCTCCGCCTTGCGGCGCCGGCACACCGGGTTCTAGTCCCGGTCAGGGCGCCGGATTCTGTCCCAGTTGCCCCTCTTCCAGGCCAGCTCTCTGCTGTGGCCAGGGAGTGCAGTGGAGGATGGCCCAGGTGCTTGGGCCCTACACCCCATGGGAGACCAGGATAAGTACCTGGCTCCTGCCATTGGATCAGCGCAGTGCGCCGGCCGCGGTGGCCATTGGAGGGTGAACCAACGGCAAAGGAAGACCTTTCTCTCTCTCTCTCTCTCTCTCACTGTCCACTCTGCCTGTCAAAAAAAAAAAAGAAAAAAAAATCCTATGGACACAAGCTATTGAAATTTGCCCAAATGAAGCCAACTTGAATATAACAGAAGAGATTGCTGGTGGGGAAGAAAATCATGCCCGACGTTCATTCCTCTGGTTATCTTAACTGATGAAAAGCCCCAAGAAAGCAGTGAAAGAAAAATAGAGAGTAAACTTTGAAAGAGGTTTTGGTCTTGAGCACTCCAAAATATATTACACTGAACAATATCTGCACCTAATGGATTTCAGGACATCTTTGAACACTGAGAAGTGGCTCTTTGGTAGGATTTTAAGAGTACCTGGAAAGAACAGTGATTAATGTTTCTTTTCACAGAGGCCTACTCCTAAACCCATCACCACTGTCCCAGAAAAACAAACCTGTTTTTACTTTGGTCTTGCCCAGCACGGCCTCATTTCTCAAGGGGTAATCTTCAGCATCCCATTTTCTAAGCTGCATCCTCAGTTAACTGAGTACCACTCCCTCCTCAGTCTCCTGCCTTACCCTTGCATCTCATCTCCATTAGGATAATCACAATTGCCTCCTAAGTGGTGGCCGTAGCCCTGCTGTCCACTTGTCTCTGGTTATCTTCCTAAAACACAAACTGCAAATACTTCCCAGCTGCTCGCGAAGGCCTTCACAGGACCACATGGGCCCTGCTGACTGGCTTCAGTCCTCTCTTTCAGACCTCATCCTTTTCTTACCCTCCACAATACAGCTTTTAGTTTCCCAAACACACCATGAACTCGTTTCGCATCTTCTCTCTTAAGTCCCATTCATTCACCCAACAAACATACTTTTCTAATGTCTATCAAAAACTGAAGTACACTCGGATGAGTCTAACTGTACCTGCTGCATGAACTTTCTGCTTCTCTACATTTTCCCTGCAGCACACGGAAAGGCACGTAAGTTCTCATCCGTATTAAAAAGCTTGCTTACCAGGTTCTTGGCGTATTTCAGTCTTCACAAGTACCATGGAAGCTGCTTATCATCTGTGCCGATATAGAGGACAAAGGTGATGTTCTGACAGGTTACAAGCCTTGCCCGAGGTCACCCAAAACGTGAAGTTATGATCTCTGCTGTCCCTCACTCTCTAGGCCTTTACACCCTGTTGCTCACTGCGCAAGTCACAGTAAGCATTCCGCCCCGTCCCCGACCCCAGTGCACGCTGCTTAAGGGCAGGCACCCGTCATCCTGACCTCTCTTCACTCAGAGCCTGAATGATCAGGAAATCCGTGAGTTCCCCGGAAGCTTCATGAGAGAGAAAAATCTCAGTAGCCTGTCAGCCTAGGCATCCTTCACAATGATTCTTCAAGCCTCATGGAGTCTGTAACGTGCACTAGCCCACCAGCACCAGCACTAACTCACCTACTCTCTCTGAGGAGAATCTGACTTTGTGAAGTGTAACCCTCTCTTACTTGATCTTTAACATATGGTCACTGTTGCGTACGACCATTCAAATTGCCAGGACACCTTTGCAAATTCAGACATACAGCCACCAATACTAACAACCATGTGCTTCCTTGAGGAATCTGGAAGATCTTTACAATCTAATGAAACAAAAGGGAGAAGCTGGAAAATCTGCCACTGCCAATTACTTACCAATTTCATGGTTATATAAAAGGGCTCAATTAGACCTACAATCAAGTCTTTTATAAATGCCAAAATTCACTGGTGGGTGAGGATGAGAGCAAATGTTTTAATTCAGGCTTTTTACAACCATTAGTGATGAACTCTGATTGAAGTAAGTCCCATTGTTACAGTAACTCAAAATCATGCAAAAATAATAATTTTAGTTCTTTTATGAGAGGAAGGCAGAATATATTAGCGTTTAATCCGCCTGAAAAGAACAGTGACTCACCAGAACTATCGAGATGGCAGTCAGTCACTCAGTCAACAACGTTCATTAAAGCCTACCGCAGAAGGCGTTCTGCGGAAGTCATCCTGTGCCGGCTGGTGACGGCTCAGCTACACTGGTAGTGCTGTAAATTCCCCATGGATTTTTACTCTTTTGGTGGTGGTTGCTTTTTTTCAGGAAGCACCAACTAATAAACTTCTCTATGCCAAGGATATCCCAACCTACAAAGAGGAAGTAAAATCTTACTACAAAGCAATCAGGGATTTGCCTCCATTGTCATCATTAGAAATGGAAGAATTCTTAACTCAGGAATCTAAGGTATCATTAGAAGGCAGAGATAAACTTACATTCAGTTTTTTTTTTTAATAAAAAAATTTTCAGAATCTCTGAATAAGGCTTGCTTTCTTTTAGAAACATGAAAATGAATTTAATGAAGAAGTGGCCTTGACAGAAATCTACAAATACATCGTAAAGTATTTTGATGAGGTAAGATTTTATGTAACGTCTTTTTCGCCTATGAGTCGGTCACAAGGATTTGGTTACAGAATTCTGTAAGTCTCAGGACAGCTCTGCCATCCCAGATGGACAGAAAGGGAGGCCAGGAAGCCTGTCTAAGCTGAGGGGTCCTGGCAGCAGGCCGGACCCTGCACACGGCTGCCCCTCCTACAGCTTGATCATGCTGCTCACTTTGGGACAGGTCTGCATTTACAGTTAAGTTCATGGGGCCTGAAGCCACAGTGACTCACTTTAACTTTGATGAGTAAGTAGTGACCCTACTAAACAGGGCCCGCTGATGCTTGATTAAAACCTGCTGAAAAAAGTGAAAGCTAAGCTTGTTAAAATGCCTAGATTCTGTATTTAGTAGCTATATGAAATTATGACATATTTCTAACTTAAGCGACTATTTCAATAAACCATTCTCCTTTTTGATTAATTCTCCTTAATCTGGATTTTTTTCTTTGGGAATTCACACAGACACATTCATCAGATGCTTTGTTTCCAAATATATGTTAATTCGCCCCTTCCCTGATTCCCCCCCACTCAGTCATGCTGGGACAGGCTATCCATGTCACTGGTGAGAATAGCTCACCAAGTCCATTTGCTACTTGAAGATCAAGTGAAGCGCTAAGGTAGGGTAGAGGCAATGAGTTCCTTAAACATGATAAGCATCCTTCTTTCAGGGGTCAGGGGTGAGAAGGGAAGCACTGGGGAGGGGAAGGGCAGAGGCGGGGCTACACTGCTCAGGATGGGAGGGAAGTATTCGTCTCTGACCAGGATGCCCCTGCCTGCTGCATTTCAGAAGAGATACTTGCCTGCATGTTGGCTGCCCAGGAATGCTTGCTGTGCTTGGAATGGCTGTGACAAAATGCATAAAGTAGGGCCTTGGAAGTCTGGCCCCATATTTGTAAGCAAATAGTTGGTATTTCTTGCAAGCTTCTATTTTAAGCCAAAGTGTTGTTGATCCTGTGATAATGACTTAGCAAAACAACTTGCAAAGTGAGTATGTAAATGATCAAAGAAAATGTTGGCATCTGTTTCATACAGATTTTACCACTCACAGCATCAGGAATGCAAAAAAAAAAAAAAATCCCCAAAAAACAAAAAAACCAGAATTGTAATGCTCAAACCACAATATCTAAAATAACTGTTCTAATTGTCAACAGATTCTAAATAAACTAGAGAGAGAACGAGGGCTGGAAGAAGCACAGAAACAACTCTTGCATGTTAAAGTCTTATTTGATGAAAAGAAGAAATGCAAGTGGATGTAAGCACTCTGGGGCCTGGGTTAATCTGGCAAAGTTCTTCAGACGACTTGGGAGCACAATGGCTGCTTGAGCTACTCTTTGTCGTTAAGATTTTGTTTGCACATAGGTTCCACTTGGAGCACTGTCTTTTGAAGACACCAAGGCACATGCACAGCTTTTAGAAAGCATAGCGACCACTGTGCCTGTGTGTACCGTGGGAAACCTTCTGTAAATAGAGTTGACGTGGTTGTTGCACACAGCCTCCTTGTTTACAGAGAATACAGGGCCAGTAAGCAAGTGTCAGTATTACAACTACAGTCTCCCCTTAAGCACAATGATACAAGTGGTTTTGGTGGAAAACTACAGCTATGTAGTACCTGTGCCTACATAGCATCTCTGCAGAAAAGGGGTACCGCCAGTGCTCAAAGCAGAAGGTGAAGTGAGTCATTTGGAAACAAGGTGGGGGTGTTAGGGCAACCTCGAGGATTTGCAGCATTGAAACTTTCCCCAGTAGTTCTTGGAAAAGCTGACCACAGAATTTGGTAGTGTGTACCCTTAGCATTTGTGAGTGTGTGTGTGTGTGTGTTCAAACCAAAAACGAACAGTGTCGCAGCATTGTTGAAAGGGCTCGTGTTTTCCAGTGGTCACCAACTGCACTCCATCACCCTCCCCTCCCTTTCACCCCGGAGCTCTAAAGCAAGGAGCTTTTAGCGTGAGGGAGCTTCAGCGCCGTGCAGCAGCATTTTACCAGATACTGTGTCCCAGTGTACGGTCGTCTCGTTTTTTGTTTCTCATACTAAGTGTACTTGATAGTGGACATGTTGAGTATTGTAAAAGAAGACAAGTTGATTTCTGTTTGAAAACCTTTGATTAGAACTACCTGTGGAAGCCGTGTCTCCTTGCTTTAGATTTCTGGTGAACCCTGTGGTTATAATACTTGTGTGTGATTTAAAAAAAAAAAAAAGTACATTTTACATTTTATCAAATTGCTGTTCACACTGGAGTATTATATATAAATATATATATTTGAGGCCCAAGGCCTGAAAAATATTAGTATACAACTTGGTATCTTAGTCTTACTATGTACTTTTTGAAAGTATTCCTTACAGAAGAAAGAATTTAAAATACCCATATTATTCATACCTTTCTTTTTAAAGAATGCCCTATCCAGTTAATACTGTAGTCTTTATATTGCTGATTTTTTTATTCCTGAATTTTTGCTGCTCATGACCAATTTTAATACCACTGTGTTTTCCTTCGATTAAACCAGAAGTGAAAAGCATAATTGGCAACTCTCAAGCTTTTCTTGTGGTGGGCACCTTTTTATCCTTGGTGCTCCAGAAATCCCTGATCTGGAAAAGAAGAAATCTTTTCAAGTAGCAAGTAAAGTATCACACATTCCTTAAAAACCATTTACCAACACGGCATGGAACACCAGGATTTCAACGTCAGTTTGTCTCAGATAACTGCAATTCTTTTTTGCTCCTTAATATCTGGTAGAGTGAGAGAGGTGATACCTCAACAAACTGATTAGAGAAACAAGCAGTTACTGCTCTGACAGGTACCTTCGCAATCCTGTCGCCTTTGACCATTGTTTGTCCAATGGACACATCTCAAAAATACTACCAAATAGGTTCCTTCTAAGTATTAAGGTGAGAGGTCTGGTCCCCATTCCAAGGCTGCTACAGTCTTCAAAGAGGTAAAGGAGTTCCTAAGAGAACAAATGGGAGGAGAGTTGAGAGCCAAGGGTAGGAGAGTTGCCCAAAAGACTTCCCTTTTCTATAGGGTACAGAAGACGCAAAGGATCAGCTACAGCTTTATCTGAGTATTTAGCAGATGCTACGTGGGGTGTCCCTGTCCAGCTCTCTGGCACAGGAGTCCTGGATGGAGAGTTACCTCCTCTTCTCTTCCAGGGACTGTGCTGTTGGGAACTTTGGGCAAGTCACTTACCTCTTTGTGCCTCAATTTCTGTATAATATTTCTAACCTACCTCACTGAGGTGGTGTGAAGATTCACTAATGTATGTAGCGTGTTTGTCAATCCTCCAGTGAAAAGCACTATCTAGATCACGTTTTGGATCACATTAGCCAAAAGTCGTAAATGGCCAAATTAGATGTGTGCTGAAGACAATCAGTCACTGGGTCTATTAAACAGCAACCAGAGAAACAAATGGCAAACAATTTTCTATTTTCAAGTTTCTTTGCATATTTTTTTGGTGCAAAACCATTTATAAACTTTTTTTCTAACACTAGTGTCTACAGCAGCATTTAAAAATTAATTCTGTTACTTTTTCTGTATTAGGATTTAAAGTCTATTTCTTATTGTATACATGATTGAAGCTGTTCTTGGAGATGAATGTTTTAAATGTCTATATACAAAAATAAACATTTTGATGTAATTGTGGACTGTTTATCTTTTTTTCCCTTCATTTTACTGGTTATAATAGATTTTTTTTTTATTCTCAGTGGTTATGTGGAAACTAATTATTTTTCAGGAACGAGGTGTCACTGTACACTCTGTGTGAATAAGCAGCTATATCATGTAGTAAGTAGACCTACTGTCTTGCTAAATAATGCTAAAGGCTGCTCAATTACATTCCTGGCCTGCACTATCAGTTGGGACTTCTGGATAATGAACATTCCATTTAGTTTGGCAGACTTGAGCTTTATCTTGTTGACATGAAATTATTCCAGCAGAATTCTTCCTAAGAACAGTACATTAAAAAGCTTCCAAAGAGTGCATGATGAAAGGGGAAAAAAGTAAAGGACGGCATACTTAGGGACACATAGAAAAAGTATGTATAATTACTTGGCTTGATCCTAAATAGTGGCAAGCAAAGTTAAATACTAATAATACTTCAGAGGACCTCTGGTGGGCTCAAGGCATACAACAATAACCATCTCCTCATCCCCCTCCCTTCCCCCCACCCCCCAACATGGTCACAGTACTTAATTAATTCCAACTCAAAGCCAAAATCAAGATCTGCATTACTAAATTTACACTGTATGGCTGAAGTGAAATTAAACACAAAGCAATAGATAGAAAAATATTAACCTCTTTAATAAATTATGTCCACACAACCTTTAGAAAAGGCAGCCTTTATAATGAATATAAAGTTGTTTTTATGCTGACTTTCAAATTTCTTTTTCAAAAACCTAGAGGTTTATAGCACCTGTCTATAGTAAACGAGAAGACATTCACTGACCATGCTATTACCAGGCATCTTACAAACAAGAAGGAATTCAAGCTGGGCATGATTGGGGCAAAATGCCAAAAACAAAACTTGATTCCGTAGTTAGTTCTTTATATTTATTCTTAAAATTTCAAAGTGTTGTCAAACAGTCTAAATATCTGATACTTTCTTTTAATGCTTCAGTTGCCATTAGCACAATCCTAAAATCCTGATACGCAATAAACAGCATGTAGCTTTTTCCTGAGGCGCGTTTAAGTGTTTAGGCAAATAGAAGAACGTATCTAAATGCCACGTATGTGAAAACTTCAGGCTTTATTGAGTCACTGATTTTATCCCTTTTGACCTGCCTTTTCTCCAGCAACATCATTCCCCAAGAGATCCAAGTTCTTCTAGTTGTTTTCTTTGTGTTGTTTCTAGTTCTTCAAGTCTTTTGCGAAGCAGAGAGAGTTCCCGTTGATGCTGCTCTTCCTTAAAATGATGTAGAAAAAGTACAACAAAAGAAATATTAGAAAAAACATAACAGGCAGCAGCCTTGGCCCGCCTCTTATACAAGCCTAGGACAATCTGGGAAAGAAACGATGACCACCCTAGCAGTCAAAAAACACAGTAGCATGGGCTAACCTACTAACTACTCATCCTTCTCTTCGGCCTCAGGCTCTAGCTTTCGGCAAAACCCATAGCCTGCTCTTCTCTAGGTGTCAAATTCACTAGGGAGTGAGTTACAAAATACTAACGGCCCAGGTATACTCATATGGCAATTTTCACATGAGACCCGAGCTTGCGCTTGGTCTGAGGTTCAATTCAGTAACTAAAATCTTATGTGCTTCAAAATATTATAAAGCATAATTACTTACTAACAGACCTTCTGAAATATGACTCCTTCAAAATGTCAGACGCCTTATACAGGTGAAAGATTTTAGAATCACATGTAGGTTTAACACTTAACTCATTAATTGGCTATGACCCTAAGCGAGTCATCATTTCATCTCTTCGTGTCTGTTTCCTCATCTATGAACTGGAAGTAATATTACTTGTCCTCAACATTTTCACTAGTATTAGATAAAATATTGCATGGAAAATGCATAGTACTGCATGAGTACGGTGTAAACTCTGGGTTACTCAGAATTCATTAATTAAATCTCGTATTGCCCAGTAGGAGAGGAGATTTCCCAACACCATTGCTAAAGGATAGAGTACATTCAAATCTACTTTGCTTCTCAGCAAATTTCTATGGTAAGTGAAAGGAAGAGGTTAAACATTAAGTTCGGGGCTAAGATCACATGTGAGTTGTAAGCAGATAAAAACCAAGAGAAATGTTTGACTTTTTTCCCTTAAAATAAATGCTCATACCTGCATATGTGGAGGAAAGGACAGTTCCATGGCAGGAACCATCGCTGATGACTGAAAACTAACAGGATTGATGGATGCAGTTGGAGGCATGCTAGGAACCAAAATTAGACTTCGAAATTCATTATGTCTTCTCTGTATATCCTTTAGCCTTTTTTGAAGCCTTGTATATTCTTCAAATGGAACATTTTGTCTTAAAAACACAAAAGTGTTCTTTAATAGTTTTACTGAAGAACAGTATTATAATACAAATTTAAATTATAAAAGTATTCCTAAATTCCAAGACTTATCTATATCTCTTTTTTTCTGGGGGGAGAAATGCATTTTTACTTTATTGCAAGAAAATGACCTACTCTGATATCTCACATATGTATGCTGCTGGAGAAATATATAATAAGAAAAATAGGGGTACTTAAATATTCCTGCATTCAGTTCTCAAAAAGCCATCAAGTAGCCTAAAGTTTATGTAGAAATTGCCTCCCCCAAAGGTAATAATGAAAAGGTTGCCATAGCCTTCTGTGGCTCAGTAGAACCTACACTGGAAATGGTTCTGAAGACCTGGGTTTTAATTCAGCTTTACTACTCTGCAATCTATGTGAGTGACCTTGGGCATGTCTCTTAAGCTCCGCCTTCCCATCTGTAAAATGGGAATACTCAAGCCTCTAGATTTTTGTAGGGGTTAAAAAAGGAAAAGAAATAATGTACATATAATTATATAACACCCTATAAAAGTGGCAATTTAAGAATGTGTTTAAATATTTTTAATTTCTATGTACCTCATAGATACATTATATGCACAGTAATTCTTCCCTCGTGCCTGCTTTTCCACCCAATCTCCTCCCCTTTCCTGCGCTCTCTCTTGATAATACATAAAAATCTACTAGAAAAACAGAAACTTGACATCTGAAGCATATGCTTAGCATTGTAGACCATCAACCCATTATAAAGTTTTGTTAAAGATGTATTTATTTTGAAAAGCAGAATTACAAGGAGGGAGAGATGAGAATGATCTTCCATTTGCTAGTCCACTTCCCAAATGGCTACAATGGACAGCCAGCTGAAGCCAGGAGCCTACCACATGAGTTGTGGGGCATAAACACTGTGCCACCTTCCACTACTTTCCCCAAGCTATTAGCAGGGACCTGGATGGGAAATGGAACAGCCAGGACACAAACCTGGTGCCCCTATGGGATGCTGCTGAGGCAGGCAGTGGCTCTGCCTGCTGTGTGACACACACCGGTGCCAGATTAAAAATCTTTTTACAATTTTCCTTTCATTCCTACTGTCCAACAGAAACTAAAAGACCCTTTAAATCCCAAGAGTGCCTATCTTATAGAAGGAATCAAATAAAAGCAGGGAAGTTGATCCTTATAAAACTCGTTTTTGTCAGTGAAATAATAAAAAATGGAGATTTTCATACTGGTTCAAACTAACTTAAAATGTAGGTGTGGGATCTGGCATCGTGGCATCATGGCATCCCATATGGGAGCTAGTTTAAGTCCTGGCTGCTCCACTTCCAATCCAGCTCCCTGCTAATGTGCTTGGGAAAGGAGCAGATGGCCAAGTCCTTGTATACCTGTACCCATTAGGGAGACCCAAATGGAGTTTCAGGTTCCCGGCTTTGGCCTGGCCCAACTCTGGCCATTGCAGCCATTTGGGGAGTGAACTGTGGATGGAAGATCTCTCTCTCTCTCTGCCTTTCAAAATAAATAAATAAATAAATAAATAAATAAATCTTTTAAGAAAAAAAGGCAGGTGTATAATATTATGATATATTAAAACACACATATTTGGCCCATGCCCCATGGTACCTGGCACACAGCTCCTAAAACTTTTATCATTTTGAGTGGTAAAGGGTATCTTTTTATGGTAATGAGAAGACTGGGAGTGGGGAGTATATAACTTCAGGATGGAGGAGGGGGTATGTAATGAAATCACCATATGAACAAAAATTGCCAGGGTTCAGGGAGCTTCTGGGTTGCCGAAAGCATGGAGGAGCCAGTACCTTTCCCACTGCATCTTGATAATACATAAAAATCTACTAGAAATGTTCTTCTGTATCTTTCATCATGAAATGGAAGATGCCAGGTAAACAAAGTGTCTCCCTCACTCTGTGAACCATTCTAGCAAATTGCTCAAACCCAAGAAAAGGGTCATAGGAACCCCTGGTTTACATCAGGTCAGTCCTGTGGAACTAAGCCTCAATCTGTAGGATCTAACACTATCTTCAGGTAGAGAGCGTCAGAACTGGATGACAGGACATCCAGCTGGTGTCTACTGGAGAACCAACTGGTATGTGCAAATAACTTCCACACATCTGGTGTCACAAGTGTTGTGCTGTGTGACAACAGGAAAAACACTTTGTTTTTTCCTATATCAAATAATAGCTAAAGCAAAGCTACCCCATTTCGGAGTGGGGGGAGGATGGCATGGAGAGACAAATCGCACTTTTCAGGCTTTCACATTTCTTTAGATGTGACTTTCCTGACCATCAATCACATGAGTAATCAAATACAGTTTCAAAACTACACAAAGTTCTGGATGATCTGCACCACAGCTGCCTAATCTTGAATTGACAATATTTAATACTAATGGTTAAGGACGAAGGAGTAAGTTGAGTTTGGTTTTACAATGAATTGGTTGGCTTCCTACTTGGGACACAGTATTATAAAGCTGGCATGAATCCCACAGTCTAGAAAGCTTGAATGTGCTAAGGAAAAAACAACCACCAACCAACCAAACAGCTGTTCACATTTCTAAGAATTAGACCCAAGAACACCAGAATACATCATAAAATATCACTGCATGATATTTAGGCATTTCCATTATAAAAAACTCCAATACTTGAATAGCTATAAATTGCTGAATGCTACCACTAATTCACTGAATTCAAAAAGATTTTTTATTAACTTGAATGGGTCATATACTGCAACTACCACTGACCTAATATAAATCTTCTCTGCTCGCAAGCTTAATGATACTGATTATTAGCCTGGGCTGGAAAACCAGAAGCTACAGCCCAGTAATAGTTTTCCACATCAGAAACCAAAAATGGACCTTTGAGTCAGAGTTTTCAGAACTCTGCAATATTCACAATGGTTTTGCCATCTCAGCACCAGGAGCTTACACTACTCCTAGTTACCATAGTTAGTGTACCAAAACTACTGAAAGATCTTTCAAATCCAACCATAACACAAAAAACTGGCATGTGACAGAGAACACCAAGTTAGGAAAAATAATAAGGGATAAAGCATTAGGAGGTTATCAAATAGTTTTACAACTCTCGTAAATGAATGCTTTTTACAAAAAATTTTAAGAGCGGGTGTGGTGGTGCAGTGAGCGACTGACCCAAATCAGAGTGCCTGCTTTGAGTCCTAGCTATTTCATACATCAAATTCAGCTTCCTGCTAATGCACCTGGGAGGCAGTAGCTGATGGCCCAAATACTTGGGATTCCTGTCACCCGCATGGAAGACTCAGATGGAGCTCCTGGATCCTGGCTTCAACCTGGCCCAGTCCCAGCTGTTGCAGGCATTTGGGGAGAGAACAAGCATATGGGAGATCTCTGTCATTTTCTCTTTCAAATAAATAATTTTTAAAAAAAGATTTGTTTATTTGAAAGACAGAGTTAGAGAGAGAGAGATAGGGAGAAAGAGAGAATCAATCTTCTATTCACTGGTTCACTCCCCAGATGGCCACAATGGTTCAGGGCTGGGCCAGGCCAAAGTCAGGAGCCAGGAGCTTCATGCCTGTCTCCCATATGGGTGCACGAGCCCAAGCACTGGGGCCATCTTCTACTGCTTTCCCAGGCCATTAGCAGAGAGCTGGATTGGAAGTGGAGGCAGCTGGGACACGAACTGGTACCCACATGGGATGCTAATGCTGCAGGCAGTAGCTTAACCTGCTATACTACAACACCAGCCCCAATAAATAAATCTTAAAAATAAACTAAAAAACAGAGGCCAGCGCTGTGGCGCAGCAGGTTAACACCCTTGTCTGAAGCACCGGCATCCCATATGGACACCAGTTTGAGACCCATGTGCTCCACTTCTGATCCAGCTCTCTGCTGCAGCCTGGGAAGGCAGTGGAAGATGGCCCAAGTCCTTGGGCCCCTGTGCCCATGTGGGAGACCCAGAAGAAGCTCCTGGCTCCTGGCTCGGATCGGCGCAGCTCCGGCCGTTGCGACCATCTGGGGAGTGAACCAGCAATAGAAGACCTCTCTCCGTAACTCTTTCAAATAAATAAAATAAATCTTTAAAATAAATAAATAAATAAATAAATAACAGCTGTTTATAGATTTATAAATTATATATCAGAAACAATTATTTTATGCAGAAACAAAGTACTGTGACATCAAAATAAACACATGAGGTATACAGGATACTTTAAAATCTTTGTGAAAAATGGAATTAAGTTTGGGGCAAAAAATTTTGAAACCCATGCCTATTTTTCATAATGTGCATTTTAAAAGAACTTCTTGAAAACCCCTCATATGCATGGGTTTCAAATTTTTTTGGCACCAAAATACTTAATTTTTAATGCCACTGTCCATAAACTTTTGAAGTACTCTTATATATACATACAAATACATTACCTTTTTAATACCTGATTTTCTGTTTCCAATTCTTCTTTCTTTGCCTCCAGAACTTCTACTTTGTCCTGCATTCTCTTCAATTTGTTTTCATGAAGAGATTTTCTCTATAAAAGAATATGAAAATGTTAATAATCTATTTGAATAAAACTCTAAATACTATACACACTCAAAATTTTCTTTTTTTAATTTATTTTTTTGACAGGCAGAGTGGACAGTGAGAGAGAGAGACAGAGAGAAAGGTCTTCCTTTGCCATTGGTTCACCCTCCAATGGCCGCCGCAGTCGGCGTGCCGCGCTGATCCGAAGGCAGGAGCCAGGTATTTATCCTGGTCTCCCATGGGGTGCAGGGCCCAAGGACTCGGGCCATCCTGCACTGCACTCCCTGGCCACAGCAGAGAGCTGGCCTGGAAGGGGGGCAACCGGGACAGAATCCGGCGCCCTGACTGGGACCAGAACCTGGTGTGCCAGCGCCGGAAGGCAGAGGATTAGCCTAGTGAGCCGCGGCGCCGGCCGCACACTCAAAATTTTATGTAGAGATGAATGCTTTTCATGGATACTAGGAACAAAGATTAGTATAGATGGCTCTTAACAAAAAGTGCAAAAGCAATAAACCACACATCTATTTTAAATTCCTGCTTTGACAAATAGAACTGTTCTGGATACCACACCAGAAAACTGGTTATCAGTAATTAAATTGCTACATATAAACACTTTTAAAAAGAGTAAAATTTTACAGTCAATCTGCCTATCATCTATAGTTCTTTATTCTCCCAAAAGATATCATGTGATTTAAAAAACTGAAATAAAACTTAAAAGCATTCTTGCAACTGATAAATCACTACTAAAGCAATTAAAAGATCAGAAAGCTGAGACAGCTTATGGATGCATCTCAGATTGAGAATATGCCTTTCTGGGGGAAGAAGGTTAGCACATTTGGCCTCGTAGTTAAGACACCTGCATTCCACATCAGAATGCCTGAGTCCGATTCCTACTCCCAGCTCCTGATTCCAGCTTCCTGCTAATGCAGACCCTAAGAGGCAGGGGTGATGGCTCAAGAACTGAGTTTGTGCATCTACATGGGAGACCTGTATTGAGTTTCTGGCCCTGGCTGTCGTGGGCATCTAGGAAGTGAACCAAGACATACGTGCTCTCTTTCTCTCTCTGCCTCTCAAATAAAAATTAAAAAAAAAAAAAAGATTATGCCTTTCTAAATATCAAGAGGAAATATTTACAACGTTCAAGATACAAAGGGAAAAATTTCTAAGAGTAAATATTGCATTCATTAAATAATGTGGAAAAGTCCATGTATAATACAAGTGAAGTATATATGAACAAAAGTGATATTTTTCAGTTTTTTTAAAATAGACACCTATAATGTTGGAACACATTTGGCAGCTACAAACCTCTTAGATACTTGTTTCCTAACTCTGTAAACTGAAGTATAACATGCTTGCAGAAAATGAAAAGCTTTATGAAGAACCACAAAGCAAATGTTAGCATGATTAGCTCCTAACTGCTGTGCCGCAAGTGCCCCTACCATTCCACCTTCCAATCATGAGTCCCTCCAACTTCTGAAAAGACAACCAATTTCTTTATTTCCAAAGCTCCAGTTCAGTCTGCTTGTTTTTGACCTGCGTATGAATGGAATAACGATGTGTATTCTTTTACAAATGACAATGTTCTTTCACTCAGTATTATGCTTGTGAGGTTGATCCATGTTTTTGCTTATGGGCATAGTTCATTCATTGCCACGTACTTTATTCCACTTATGGCTATTACGTAGTTCATTCTATTTACCTAGTCTACTGTTAAGTATCTAGGAACAAGGTATTTCAAAAAGGTCATGGACAATGGAACTAAAAGGTAAGTTTATTCTGGTGCAGAAATTTTTGAAATCCATTCAGTCTTTTCATAATACATATTTTTCAATGAACTTACTGAAGCCTCCTCATACAAATAATGCTGGCATGGGCCTCCTTCTTGAGCTTGCCACTGCAAGCCTCCACAAGGTTCTCATGCTCCTCCTGTCTACTCTGGCACAGGAACTACTATTCTGCCCTCCATCACCACAGAGTTTATACGTACTCATGGGCAAGTAGGGAGTCCTCCATCTCTCCACTTACTCATGTAAAAGAAATCCTACAGCACACATACTCCTTTGTATTTGGATTTTCTCAACAATTTATCTGTATGACCAGGCCATGGTGTAATATGTCACAGTTGTTAGTTCTTTTCCAGTGTTATGTCATCATCTAATTTGCAAATATACTACATTTATCCATTTTCCTGTTGATGAAAATTGAGTTGTTTCCAGTATGGAAATAATATGATTAGTTTTTTAAAAAAAACACTCAATATGTTTTTAGTAGATGCAAGCACTCATTCTCTTAGCTGTATCTAAGGAGCAGGTTATAGAAAATATAAATGTTTTAAGAGTTTATTAGGTACTGCCAGTTGTCTAAAGTGGTTCTACAGCTTACAAGCTAGTCAGCAATGTGTGAGTTCTAACTGCTCTACACCCTTTCCAATACATGGTACAGTCAGTCTTTTAAATTTTAGCTGTTTTGATAGAACACGGTTTTAATTTGTGTTTTCCTGATAGCAAAGATATTAAGTTTTCTTACATAAGTTGCCATCCAAATATCCTCTGTGTGTGTTTGTGTATGTGTATGAGAAGTGCCCATCCCAGTCTTTTGCCCATGGACACAAAAATTTTGAGTAATCTCTTAATGATTTGGAAGAGGCTTTTGTTGTTGTTGTTTGTTTTGATATACTCAGAATACTAATCTGTTTTTCATATACTCATATGTATTGCAGATTGACCTTTTTCTGTAACATTTTCTTTCTTGTAAAAGAATTCTTTGATAAAAAGCTGTTCTTAATAAAATCCAACCGATCAATCATTAGTTTTATGGCTAATGCTATATGTGTACTCTTTAAGAAATCTTCACTTACTCTAAATCCTAAAATTTTCTGCAAGATTTTCTTCTAGCTGCTTTGTTTCACTTGCCACATTTAGGTAATCTCTATTTATGTTGTGAGGTTGGGCTCACTCAATATTCTTTATTCACTCAATATTCTTTATTTAAAAGACAATCCCTTCCTTCTTAAAACACAGCTGTAGCTTCCCAGTAAATTAGTTGCCCATACACATGTGGGTCTATTTCTGGACTCTATTCTGTTCCATTTGTCTGTCTGTCTATCCTTATACCAAATATGCAACACTGTTTCAACTACTATAGTTTATAGTAAGTGTTGTTCTAGTAGGTGAGTTCTTCTAACTTAACTGTCCTTAAAGAGCGTACTGTTATTCTAGTCCTTCAAATTTTCACATGGATTTTAGAATCTACTTTCTAATTTTCATTTAAAAAACTACTGAGATTTACTTAGAATTACATTTAATATATGGATTAGTTTGGGAAGACCTGACATCTTACTAATATTGAGTCTACCAAGCCATGAACATGGTATAACTTTTTCTTAATTTAGGCATACTTTAATTTGCCTTAGCAATGTATGTTTTTTCAATGTAAATTGTGCACATCTTCAATTAGATTTGATTCTAGGTATTCTTAAAGCTATTGTAGATGGCATTTAAATATTCTATTTTCAAATTGCTTGTGTGTTTGTAAAGAAAGACAATTGGTATTAGTTACCTGACCAGAACTTAGCAATTTTTAAAATTCATATTAAGTTTACTGACATTTTATGCACACATGATCATGTCACTAAGAATGACAATTTTATTTTATTCATTTCATTCATTTCTTTTTCTTGCCTTTTTAGCCTGGCTGTAACTTCCAATAAAATACTGAACAACTTGGTTACAGTAGACAAACTTGGCTTGTTTTTGAACTTGAGTGAGAGAATCATTCAGTATTTAGTTAGTACCTATACTGTTGGCTGAAGGATTTTTGTAGATACTGTTTATTGTACTGAAAACTCCTTTCTATTCCTTCTTTGATACAAGTTTTTTAATCATGAAAGGGTGTTTAATTTTGTAAAATTTTTTCTGCATCTATGAAGATACTCATAGTATTTTTTTCTGTTAAGAGTGAATTACAATGACCAATTTTGCATATTAAGACACTTGTGTACCTAGAATAAATCTGACATTTCATAATATATTATCAATATATTATTGGATCCAGTTTGCTAATATTCATGATTTTTTACATCTATGTTTATGACACAATTTTCTTTTCTTCTGATGATTGTATCAATTTTGAACTTCAAAAAATAAGTGGAAATATATTTCCTCTTTTTCTGTTAGCTGGTAAAGTTAAGATTGTTATTTCTTTTTCTCTGTAGGAAGTTTTTAATTAAGGATTACATTTAAAAAATAGACACAAGACTATTCAGATTTCCTAATTCTTCTTAGTTTTGTTAAATGTTCTTAAACTATTTCTTTATAACGTCTCTCAAATTTCCCTACTTTTTTTGTTTGTTTTTGTTTTTGTTTTTGTTTTTGACAGGCAGAGTGGACAGTAAGGGAGAGAAAATTTCCCTACTTTTCATCTGACACATATTCTTTATTCTGTTATAATTCCACTTAAATCCAGCTAGAATACTTCATAGTTTTCTTTTTCTTACCTACCAGTATATTCTGGTTTTTGTTTTTTCCTTCAAAATAGCTCCTGTCGTTACCTTCTACCTTCTTTACTATACTCCTGGTCCCAATTCCAGATGTTTTCTCTCACTTTAAGTTTACTGTATCAGCTTCCTAATGGGTCTCCCTTTCTTCAGGTTTTCTGTCTGGCACAGTGGTTCTCAAACTTTAGTGTCTGTACAGATCACCTGGGAGTGACTAACAGTATCACTGAGGTCATTCTCACACATTATCTTCTTTCTCCAACTAGTTATATGATCATCGAAGGTTAGCAGGGGTCATGGCTACCATCTCCCCCTTAGCGTACGGCACAATGCAAAGGCACACAACACACTGAGTAAGATACTCTGTAATGTCAAGACTGATTTATCTTTTCTTTTTTTCTCCTGAAAACATCCATAACAGAATCTGCCTAAAAAGGAAAAAAAAACTAATATGCATACTCCAATAGATGCCTCTTCATACTTTCACTTCAACATCGAGTAAGAAATGAGGAACTGATACACAGAGGAGCCATCACTCACAGAAGGGCAATCTCAACTTAAGACGCTTGATCAAGCTGTTTCCAACAAATTAACACAGTAAAACATCATTTATACCAAGGACCCTACCTAAAAACACTCAAAATAACAGCTTTATGCTTAGGATCTTGGAGTTCTTAAAGATACAATATATACACATTCAGATAGCAGTGTGCCATCTCATCTAGCCTGGGGGGTTAAAATTAAGTTGTTACTCTCTAGTTGTAAAAAGTCTTCACAGAATAACAACTCTAAAGGATTATGATTTCTAACCTAGGGTTCAATCTTTATGACTTCTTTAAGTCCTGCTGTGTAACAAAGTTATGATTCTTGCCATTTAAATAATCAGTGTAAAAAGCCTGTGCATTGTTATGAATTAAATTTGTGTAATCTTATAGTAAAAGTAATATTAAAGCATTATCTTTAACTTGAAGGGAAAGGGTGAGTTAATTTGGTAAGTAGTCTGACTTAAAAAATAAGATTTATATGGACCACAGCTATGAGAAAAGCAGAAAGTATATAGAATCAAAAAAACTGGGAAATTAAAGAGTACAGCACAATGGAAAGAACACCAGTCCAGGGGCTGGCGTTGTGGAGTAGTGGTAAAGCTGCCACCTGTCACGCTGGCATCCCATATGGGCGCCCATTCAAGTCCTGGCTGCTCCTCTTCCAATCCAGCTTCCTGCTAGTAGCCTGGGAAAGGCAGCGGAGTATGGCCCAAGTCCTTGGGCCCCTGCACCCATGTAGGAGACCTGGAAGAAGCTCCTGGCTCCTGGCTTCAGCCTGGCCCAGCCATGGCTGTTGCAGCTATGTAGGGAATGAACCAGCAAATGGAAGATCTCTTTCTCTCTCCCTCTCTCCCTGTCTCTCTGTAACTCTGTCAAGTAGATAAATAAATCTTTAAATATAATAAAATTTATAAAAAGAAAAAAGACCACCGGTCCATGAGCAGAAAGGTATAGATTTTAGTCAGGGCTTCAACTCTTATTATCAAGTTATCTTACATACCTACCACTGCAGTTTCCTAATCTGGAAAAACTATCTGAATGCTGAGATCACTTCCAACCCTAAAATTAAATATACTTGTATATTTTAATAGTATTCCTATGTCACATTTAATTAACTAAAAATTTAATTAATTAAATTTTTATTTACATTAATTAATGTAAAACAATTAGCTCCTAGTGGTGGTGTCTTACACAGTGGGACAGATCTCGATCATAATTATTCATGGGGCTGGTACTGTGGCACAGTGGGTAAAGCCGCTGCCTGCAATGCAGGCATCCCATATGGGCGCTGGTTTGAGCCTCGGCTGCTCCACTTCCAATCCAGCTCTCTGCTATGGCCTGAGAAAGCAGTAGAAGATGGCCCAAATCCTTGGGTCCCTGCACCACATAGGAGACCCAGAAGAAGCTCCTGGCTCCTGGCTTCAGATCGTTGCAGCTCCAGCTATTGCGGCCATGTGGGGAGTGAACCAGTGGATGGAAGACTTTCTCTCTTTCTGCATCTCTCTAACTCTACCTTCAAATAAATGGAGTATGGCCCAAGTCCTTGGGCCCCTGCACCCATGTAGGAGACCTGGTATAAATAAATCTTTAAAAAATAATTATTCATTAAGTTGACATTAATGCTTTCCCATGATGTAGTCATAATCCACAGATCACATCTTACAAAGTGAAATGAAGGGCTGGCATCAAGAAACATTCCTTAACAGAGTGCCAGCTTGAGACCTGACCCAGCTTCTTAATAAAGTGCCCAGGAAAGCAGATGATGAGGGTCCAAGCACTTGGGCCCCTGTCACCCATGTGGGAAACCAGAGTTCCTGGCTTCTGGCTTCAGCATGGCCCAGCCTTGGCTACTGAAGCCACTGGGGAGTAAACTAGGGACAGAAGATCTCTCTATGCATCTCTCCTTCTCTGTCACTCTGCCTTTCAAATAAATAAATATTTTTTTTTAAAAACTTAAATAAGTATTTACTATGTTCACATCATTTGACAGGTATTTCAGTAGGAAAAATATTCATCCCTGGTCACAGTACTGATGAAATGTTATATTGCAGGTTTTTAAACTATCATCTCCTAACCTCTTCCTGGTATACCTATGATTAACTGATAATCTCTCTCACCACTGGATGTCACTTTTGCTCCAAAAGAAGTCAACCCAAACTAACCTCTGGAATTAGAATCTGAGTTCATACTTATCTGTAAAACCTCAAATGGAGACATACTGCATCATGTGTGGGACTCTGTATGTACACACACACATTCTCTATTATGTTCCTCCCCATACTCTGATCCAAGAGAACTACTGAATCACTGCCATAGTACTACATTACTGACAGGACACACTACATCCCTTGGTTTTGTTGATTAGAAAAATAGTTGTGGCCGGCGCCGCAGCTCAATAGGCTAATCCTCCACCTAGCAGCGCCGACACACCGGGTTCTAGTCCCAGTCGGGGCGCCAGATTCTTTCCCGGTTGCCCTTCTCCCAGGCCAGCTCTCTGCTGTGGCCCGGGAAGGCAGCAGAGGATGGCCCAAGTGCTTGGGCCAGGAGAAGCACCTGGCTCCTGCTTTCAGATCAGCTCAGTGCGCCGGTTGCAGCACGCCAGCCATGGCGGCCATTGGAGGGTGAACTAACGGCAAAAGGAAGACCTTTCTCTCTCTCTCTCTCTCTCTCTCTCTCTCTCTCTCTCACTATCCACTCTGCCTATCAAAAAAAAAAAGAAAAGAAAAGAAAAAATAGTTGTAACCTATGGACTTAAATGCATCATCTGGTCACATTAATTCAATGACACCTTGGACTGTTTCCAAGAAAATAGATTCTAGAGAAAAGTATGCCTGCAATGGTAAAAGTTAAAAAGGTTCAAGGCTGCGTGAACTATCATGGCTGCTCCCATGTCCCCCTGCTCAGGGCAAGGAGACATTCGCCCCTGTATTTTTGAGTTGGACACAAAAAAGCCGTTTTAATCACAAAGTTTTACATATACTGCTTAAGCATAGTGCAAGGAAGTCCAAACACACAATAATTTACGTGAAGAATGAGTTAAGAAGACTTATATGGCTTGGCTTGAACACGTTATTCCTCTGAAAAATACCATCTCTGGGAAAATACAAAATGTCTCGAAACAAAATAAAGAAGAAATTTGCTGAATGGTTTGGATTTTCCCAATTAATCCCCACCAGGTTAACAGCAAAGTGTACTGTTTAAATATCAAATGAAACATATCACTAAAATCTCAGATTCAATTGCAAATTTTATCCCCTTGAAATAGTTAATTATGCTTCACTCCACAGAAATCCCTTTAGTAACAACCACTTGCCTTTTTCTGGGCAATTGCAGCTCTCTGCAGTTTCTCTTTAGCTTGATTATATTTCTCTTCTCTCTCTGTGATATGTTCCTGAAGCTTACGCTTTTCCTTCAGCCACTCCGTGTTCTTCTCATCCATTGTCCTGGCAGATATATGTAGGCAAAAACTCTTAGGCTTAAGTAGACACCATTACAAGCACAAGGAAGCTCACGACCTGCCTGACCACATCCTTTAACCAACTGTAGACATTCTTGTAAGGCTACACAATGATGCTAATACATTGTTACTGAGCACGTATAAAACAGGCACCGTGCTTAGAACAACAAAATGTACTATGTCATGTATTCTCATATTAGTCAACTTTTTGGCCTTACTACAAAATACCTAAGACAGGCCAGTTATGAGAGAAGGCGGTTTATTCCGGCTCACAATTTTGGAGGTTCACAGCCCCAGATCAGGCATACCCATTGGTTTGGCAGAGTCTGGTGAAGCCAGCAGATGGCAACGGCAGAGCTTGTGCAGAGTAATGATCATGTGATGACTCAGGGAGCAGAAAGAGAGTCTGGACTCAACTCACACTTTTTTTTTTTTTTTTTTTTTTTTTGGACAGGCAGAGTGGATAGTGAGAGAGAGAGAGACAGAGAGAAAGGTCTTCCTTTGCCGTTGGTTCACCCTCCAATGGCCGCTGCAGCCAGTGCACCGCGCTGATCCGATGGCAGGAGTCAGGTACTTATCCTGGTCTCCCATGGGGTACAGGGCCCAAGCACTTGGGCCATCCTCCACTGCACTCCCTGGCCACAGCAGAGAGCTGTCCTGGAAGAGGGGCAACCGGGACAGAATCCGGCGCCCCGACCGGGACTAGAACCCGGTGTGCCAGCGCCACAAGGCGGAGGATTAGCCTAGTGAGCCGCGGCGCTGGCCCCAACTCACACTTTTATAACCAAACGTCACTTGACAACCTTCCAAGTGCATGCCACACTTGACCTAAGGACCTCCCACTGTACCCACCTCCTAGACACCATAACTCGATTAGGTTTTCACCTTTTGGTACCATCAACTTATGGCTTTGGGCTTTAACTGTCTAGATGAGTTTGGGAGCCATATCCTATTCAAATCGTAGCATTTTTCATGAAGAGGCTCAGAGTTAGGTACTGCTGTTACATCCTTTTGGTAGATGTAGAAACTAAGGTTTAGTGTTTATTGTTTTTAATTTTATTTTTTGTTTTATTTTGTTTATTGGCTTAGTGTTTATTGTTGATGAACTGACATCCAGTAAGTGGTAGGAAAACACTTGATAATCAGGTGACTATAAAAATTTGGTCTAATAAAGTTGGTTAAAATCAAGCCTGGTATCAAATCTGAATGCAGTATACTTTCTGACTATAATAAAATTCATATATATGATACTTAAGGTAATATATTAATAATCTATATTCCTAAGGTTATTCTGCATACTTTATATGATTTTTAATATCTGTACTACAGGCAGTAAAAATGAGAGCAGCATGGGGCCAGCAACATGGTTACAGCTGCCACCTGCGATAGCAGCATCCCACATGGGCGCTGCTTCCTGTCCCAGCCGCTCCACTGCCAATCCAGCTCCTTGAAAACAGCCTGGGAAAAGCAGAAGCTGGTCCAAGTGGGCGGGTCCCTGCCACCCATGTGTTAGGCCTGGTTCAGCCCTTCTCATGTGGCTACTTGTGGAATGATCCAGAAGACGGAAGACCTCTCTGTCTCACCCTCTCTCTTTCAAATAAACAGATATCTTTTCTTAAAAAAAAAAAAAAGAGAGAGAGAGAATAACAAATCCTGAGAAGTTAGATTATTTGCCTAAGGTCTTAAGATAAACCTAGAATGAAAATCATATTCTACTGACCACTAGTCTGGCTATTTTCTTCTACAGGATTCAGAAACCAATAATTAATTACTTCAACTTGCTAACTACACTGTCATTAGAATTCCTAAGTTCATGTCAATCAAATACTTGAGGATTCCAAGATACAAATTTGTTTCTTTTGTTTTTTGTAAAATAAAGAAAAATAAGTTAAAACTCTCAGGACTGTTGCAACTTATTTTGGATATATATCTTGCTTATTTCCTTTTCTTGAGATTCAATCCCATATATGAAACCATGGGCAAATCTTAAAATATGAAATAACAGAGAAAATGAAGGAAAAGGTTTCATGTGGTAGGAAAGTCTTAATAACAAACTTGAAAAGAACAATGTTTTGAAGATTAAAATAAAAACTTATAGTACCAACATATTATAAAGGCAAAGCAAATAAAACAGCACAGTGTTCTGCCAAATCTAAACAAAATCTTACAGAGTATACAAAATCTTGAATATTGCCAAAATAATTCTTTCCATAACAGTCTCTATATAGTCTACTATTAGCAACTTTCAAATTTTCAAAAAAATAAACACATAAATTAGTTTTTCAAAGGGAAAATCTAAGAGACTAGTTTTAATTCTAGGAAGTGAGTTTTGTGCATCAAAAATAAAAATAAAAAAGCACAACCAAGCTATTCTATCCCCTGATTTAAATTTCTAAAATAGGAAATATTTGGTTTACTCAATGAATACAAAAGTTTTTCTCTGAGTGTTTTCAGAACACTGTGATCAGGCAGAATTTTAAAAGCTCAATATATGGAAATGTAATTATCAGAGGGTATCTGTAACTTGTTCCTAAAACCCATCCAACCCTGGAAGCATCAAAGTAACCACATACAACACAGAAGAAAAAACAGCTTGTACATAAAAAAGAGCAAACTCTACTTTTTAACTGTCCGTTGTGCGTTTTCGGCTTGGTCTCTGAGATTCTGGCATTCTTGCTTTAATCTCTCCACCATTTCCTTCAGCATTTGGTTTGAATTCAGCAATTCATTCTCTGACCGCGCCAGCGAGGCTACCTGAATCTGCAAACTACTGACTTGCTTATAAGGCAAGACAGAACAGGAACATGAGGTCACTAAACAAACCCAGTCAGTTATGAGAGAAGCAGAGATCAGTAAGCACCTCCCCTCACAAGTGCCCTACCCAGCAGGCACACGTTAAATGAGATCATAAATAGCAGTCAGTAAGATCGGTTCCTGCTGCAACTAAAGACTACAAAAACCACTCTCCTGAAGGAGTCCCCTCGCTGCTTCCCCAGATAAGCGGACCAGAAAAGGTGTGTGCTGGGAATGGGGAGACGTGTCAGGAGGAGAGTGGGGACGTCAGTGAGGCTCCTGTCACACTAGGCTCCCTCTAGTTTTCTAGGAGAGACAGATTTTAAAAACAAGTCACCTAGGAAAGCAGCTGAAGAAACTGCTTCCCCTTTCCAGTACCCTGAGACAAGCACCCCTTCCACGAGTGCTGTAAGAGCAGAGCAGTCAGCAATTGTTTAAGTGCAGGAAGGATCCTTCTCACACCTTTTTTTTTTTTTTTTTTTTTAAGATTTCTTTATTTTTTTTTTTTTTTTTTGACAGGCAGAGTGGACAGTGAGAGAGAGAGACAGAGAGAAAGGTCTTCCTTTGCCGTTGGTTCACCCTCCAATGGCCGCCGCGGCCGGCGCGTTGCGACCGGCGCACCGCGCTGATCCGATGGCAGGAGCCAGGAGCCAGGTGCTTTTCCTGGTCTCCCATGGGGTGCAGGGCCCAAGCACCTGGGTATTTTTAAAGTCAGAGAGACAAAGAGAGACGAAGAGACACAGCAAGATCTTTCCACCCACTGGTTCACTACCCATATGGCCCCAACAGCCAGGACTGAGCCAGGCCAACGCCAGTAGCCAGAAGCCTCATCTGGTTCTCCCACAGGGGTGCAGAGGCCCAAGCAGTTGCACCATCCTCTGCTGCTTTTCCCAGGCCATTAGCATGCAGCTGGATCAGAAGCAGAGAGTCAGGACACGAACCAGCACACATGTGGGTGTACAAGTAGCAGCTTCACCTGCTGTGCCACAATGCCACTCCCATTCTCAAACTACTTTTAAAAGGTTTCCAAGCAATGGCCTTGATAGCCATTTTTCAAATAATGCCACTCTAGACTTTCCTTCATCCAAACTGACTTTTATTTGGGAGTACTTTTTCTCATGAAAAGTAGGTAATTATCTAGTAAAAGATTAACGAGCTAGAAAGAGTCACAGTGCTTCTAAGTTATACTCAAATAAATTTTCATTTAGGACAATTTCATCCATTTCCCTATAAGTAATAAATAATAAAAGTTCTCATTTTTCCTTTAATTCCTTTCACCTCTTTAAGCCTTTCTCTGAGAATTCAGAGCAAAAAGTCAAAAGACAGGAATCAAAAGAACCCATTATGAGATTCAAGGATCAAAAGAAACAAGTTTTTCTTCATGCAATAAATTAAATAAATGGGAAATTATCCCATCATTTCCTGATGGTAGCAAAGCCAAGTAAGTTAAGACTCTACAGTTATAGAGCAACTGCTCGCCAAATGAAGGAAAATGGTATGTCTCAGATTTCTACTTTGGAATGAACTCCTCTATGTAGAACTATACATTCCTTATGTTTAACTCAAGTGGCAAATAGTCAGTCTACATTACAGCTGCCCAAACAGGCAACCTCCAACAAGCTTAACATCTCTTCATATCCACAGGATGAAGCAAAGTCCAACACCAACTATACCACATAACTTTCTCTTAGAGTATCAGATATTATGCCCTCCTTGTTAAGAATTAGAAACCATAGGGGCTGGCACTGTGGTACAGCGGATTAAAGCCCTGGCCTGAAGCGCTATCATCCCATATGGGTGCTTGTTCAAGTCCCGGCTGCTCCTCTTCCAATCCAGCTCTCTGCTGTGGCCTGGGAAAGCAGTGGAAAATGGCCCAAGTCCTTGGGCCCCTGCACCCACATGGGAGTCCCAGAAGAAGCTCCTAGCTCCTGGCTCCTGGCTTCGGATCAGCGCAGCTCCGGCCGTTGCGGCCATCTGGGGAGTGAACCAGCAGATGGAAGACCGATCTCTGTCTCTGCCTCTCTTTGTAACTCTTTCAAATAAATAAAATAAATCTTTAAAAAAAAAGAATTAGCAACCATAACTGTGCATACAAAGGAGCACTGGTTATCTTGAAATCAAAAATCTTAAAAATAGAATCTTCATTACTTCATAATTTATAAGAAAAACCTTTTAAACAAAAAAATTCAGGAAACAATAGTCTTTCACATTCTAACTTTAAATAAACCTTTCCCGAATCCAAATAACTAATTAAAATATAAATTTACTTCCATAAACAACAACTCCCAAATTTCATAGGGGTACATTAAGGAATACTTCATGGAATAAACACAAAGTTTTAAATGAATTATTACACAATTTAAAGCCTGAATGGTATTTCTATTCAATTTAAAAAATTCAAAATATCAAAATATTGCCTTTAATTATAATTAAAAAATGTCATGAGCTACAGCATATATATATACATCTACATATATATATAGAAAGAAAGCAGCAGCTAGTAAAAGAAATTTACTAAATTAAGGTTTAAACATTTTTATCTTTACATATCAACCACTTTAAAATGCTGTCAATTGTAAAACTGATACGTAAAATTACAACAAATGTGCAAAACACAGATTTTTAAAAATACTTAAAGACAAAAGCAAACTGTATGCTAAAATCATACCTGTTTCAAATCAGAATTTTCATTTTTTTCTTTCTCTGCTTTTTCAATATCCACAATTTGTTGCTGAAGTTTTAACCTAAAACCACAACACAACAAAAGACATTGTTAAGAATCCATGGTTGATTTATTTCACTGGATGAAACGTGAAGCCATCATTTTCCTGATACCAGGCATCGTGCTATGCAAAGTAGTAAATATAACCACAAACATCTAGACTTAGGGCAGCAAGCTTATGATCAAATACAACTAAAATGCAACACAAGTTACTTCTTTCACAATAGGGAAATTTACAAACTATGCCTACAGAGAGGATGAGAAATCAAGTCTATCCCAGGGCATCAGAGAAAACTATATGGAGATTAAAAAGTTGACAGGTAGGTTACGGACGAACATAGTGAACAGGCTGAACAAGTGGTCCTCAGTGGAAAAACTGAAAGAATGTGTTGCTAACGCGTAAGACAGCAGTCTGTTAGAAGAAGTCATTTTATATCTATAAAAAATTTTATAATTTACACAATGCTTTCAGACTCACTTCCACTTTACAAGGCTACAGATTTAAAAGAAAACTATACAAGGCACCATACTTTATTCTAGAAAATATTTTATGAGCTTTGTGTCCCCGAGATGGGTGAACACTTAGAAAATACTGCCCCTTCTCAAGGAGAATGATACATCCTGAGCCAGAGCCTTAAAATGCAGAGCACTTCTGGGGACCACATGACTCATCTCATGAGGAAGGCTTCATGCTAATCAGGTTTGGCAGGATAGGGCCCCCAACATCCTACTTCTGAAAATTCTTCACTTAGCTCAAATAGAATTCATCTGGCACTTGTTATTTATAGGCTGGCATTATTAGCATATCTTATCTGCCCAAAATAATATGCTTAATGGGACTATAACACTCTCAGAAAGCTAAGGCTGTGCTTCTATCAATTCAATAAATATTTGTTGATGGGCTGAATGAACCAACCTAGATCCGCATGAGACACTGTCCAGATGACTGGACAACATTACATGGAAAAACCCTGAAGATATGACCTATAGCTTCATGATTCATTTAGACATAAACACTGGAAACAAGGCTCCAATAGACTACGCCACCTGGGTTCCGCCTTTGTTCCTTTGTCAGTACCAACCACATTCTTATTTCACAATTCTGGCTACAGTGTCAACTGGCGCATTTCATACAATCAATGCTTAAAAATGCTATTAATTTCGTGCTTTTAGGTTACTGAGTTAATACAGTTTCTTTCTACAAAATCAAGATGATGGAAACAAACAAGAAAACTCTGGGCCCTAGCTCAGGTCCATTTAGAAAACTTGAGTCCCAAGTACATAGTAGATCAGGTCAAGAACTTAGATATATGAGATGCAAGACCCAGTTTAAAAGCATTCCTGGCCTGAATGCTTTCTAAATAAGTTCTACAAATATGAAGAAAAACAATAGTGCCCTATATAGAAAAGCTTAAACTAAGGAAGCCTATAGTAAAGAGCATCTGCACAGAGCTGGCGCTGTGGCTTAGTGGGCGTAGCTGCTGCCTGGGATGCCAGTATCCCATATGGGCACCAGTTCGAGTCCTGGCTGCTCTAATTTCCATCCAGCTCCAGGCTAACGGACTGGAAAAGCAGAAGACAGCCCAAATGTTTGAGCCTCTGCTACCCGCATGGATGACCCAAATGAAACTCCTGGGTCCTGAAGCCTGGTCCAGCCTGGCTGCTGCAGCCATCTGGGAAGTGAACCAGCACACAGACCATCTTTTTCTGTAAATCTTTCAATATAAATAAATAAACCTTAAGAAACGGAGTATCCGCAAATCATTAAAACAGAAGAATAACATCACCATTGTGGGGCAGGTTACAACAGATGACATACATGGCCTCTGTTCATCTTGCTGAAGCAGTTTAGAATCTAATACTGATATGATTGGGGGGGGGGGGAGCATCAGTCCATTATTTAACATCACTACATTTAGGATTCTAATAGATTGTAGAATTTAACAGATATTATCAGAGATATGTAAGAATAAGACAAATGGTCTTAATTCCACGAACCAAAGAGTTTACTAAAGGAAGATTCCAGGGATCATGGTGCAGCAAGTTAGGCCCCTTCTTCCTATACCACATCCCGTACTGCAGCATGGATTTGAGTCAGATCCATTTCCTGCTAATGCACCTGTGAAGGCAGCAGAGGATGGCCCAAACAGGGCCCCTGGCACCCACAGGAATCAAAAGAGGACCTGGGGCCGTAGGTTAATCCTCCACCTGCAGTGCCGCCATCCCATATGGGCGCCGGTTCTAGTCCCGGCTGCTCCTCTTCCAATCCAGCTCTCTGCATGGCCTGGGAAGGCAGTGCAGGATGGCCCAAGCTCTTGGACCCCTGTACCCGCATGGGAGACCAGGAAGAGGCACCTGGCTCCTGGCTTTGGATTGGCACAGCTCCCGCCATTGTAGCCATTGGGGAGTGAATCAACAGATGGCAGACCTTTCTCTCTGTCTCTCCCTCTCACTGTCTGTAACTCTACCTCTTAAATAAATAAATAAATAATTTTAAAAAAGAGAGAGAGAGAGAGAGAGAGAGAGAATGAACCTGAACCAAAATACAGTAATTGACAGTAATCATGAGCAAAGACACATCACAAGAACTGCCTGGTTCTTCAAATCCTGTCACAAATGCATTCACTTCCAACACTAGACAGTTCAAATCTGAGAATGAACTTGTCTAAATGGCCAGGTACAAGTCTCTACTCAGTACCAAGATGACACACAACAGACAATTCTTCTCAAGATGGAGTATAAACAGAAAGGAGGATATATTGAATAGTTCTATTTTTAAAAACTTTTATTTATTTACTTGAAAGCCAGAGTTACAGAGAGGGGGAGAGAGAGCGGGAGAGAGAGAAACCCATCCATTGGTTCACCCCCCAGATGGTCACAATGACCAAGGCTGGACCAGGCTGAAGCCAGGAGCTTCATCTAGGTCTCTCACCCAAACATCTGGGCCTTCTGCTGCTGCTTTTCCAAGGCCATTAGCTGGACTGAAGTGGAGCAACTGGGACACAAACCGGTGACCACATGAGATGCCAGCATTGCAGGTGGCAGTGTTACCCAACACATACGCCGGCCCCTTGAATATTTTTTTTAAGCTAATAGGTGCTGGCACTGTGGCATAGTGTATTAAGTTGCCTCTGTAGCACCAGCATCCCATATGAGCTCCAGCTGGAGTCCCAACTGCTCCACTTCCAACTAACTCCCTGCTAATGTGCCTGGGAAAGCAGCAAAGGATGGCCCAAATGTTTGGGCCCCTGCACCCACATGGGAGATCCAGATGAAGCTCCTGGATCCTGACATCAGCCTGGTCATTGTGGTTATTTGGAGGCACAAATCAGCAGATGGAAGATCTCTCTTTTCTCTCTCTATGACTTTCAAATAAATAAATTAAATCTTTTTAAAAAAAGACAGAGTTTTTAAAGAAAGAGTTACAGAGAGAGGTAGAAACAGAGAGAGATCTTCCATCCTCTGGTTCACCTCCCAGATGGCCACAATGGCCGGAGCTGTGCAGATCTGAAGCCAGGAGCCAGGAGCTTCCTCCAGGTCTCCCATGTAAATGCAGGAGCCCAAGGACTTGGGCCACCTTCTACCACTTTCCCAGGCCATAGCAGAGAGCTGGAATGGAAGAAGAGCAGCTAGGACTAGAACCGGCGCCCATATAGGATGGCATATGGCCCGGGCTTTAACCAGCTGTACCACAGTGCCAGCCCCAATAAATAAATCCTTTAAAAAAAAAAAAAAAAAAGCAAAGTTCCAAAAGGGCAAATACTATTATGTTCTCCTGATCAGGAGAACCTGTGATAACTAATAGAGCGCCTAAAAGGTAACCTGTACAAGTGAAATTAACACTTTGAGATGCAGTGACTTTGAACAGCCTGTGTCTCGACTGTTAAGGAACAGG